AATCAGTGTTCCTTTAACTAATTTTATTTTAAGATTATGGCTACTGAAATATTAAATGCATATTTTGTAATGTATTTAATTTTGCTTTATTTTTAGTCTTACTTATCCGTATAGAAGTGAACAACAGAAAAGCAAGTTGGTAATACAAATTATTGTGGTTATAAAAATCTTTGGAGCCACAACAGAGTGCCATGCTTTTGTGCTTTCATGTTATTTTTTTTCCGGTTATCTTTGGAAATATACAACAAACATATATAAATAAGTTTATATATATATATATATATATATACTAAGTATGCAGATATGATTATTAAACATTTTAATTTATATAACAAAAACTGTTAAATGGAGATGTTGATACAGTATTAAAAGTGTGTTGTAAAATGATTGGAAAGGGAAATAGCAAATGACCTATCAAGTAGGGGTAGTTTTTCTTTAAATTTTACAGCTGTAACAAAAAGAACAGTTTGCCTGGAAAAGACTTATGGATTAAAATGCAGTTCAGGACATTACAAGCATTCTCCATGCGAATGCTTGCTAACCACTAACAGGCCACCCTGACTCTAAATTGAGAATAATTTACCTCCCTGCTTGATGGGCATTTTCGTCAAAAACCACACGAACGCTATGAGAACTGTAAGCACAGCCGCCATTTCGGGACTTCCACGTGTTCGCGGCCATTTTAACTCCCGTACAGCGGTGTTTGCCGTTGAGTGTCTGGAACTAAAATCGGACACTCAAATAGGTGAACACCGCTGAGACCTCCACACCTTCGGGAGAACCTCGCCAAAACTACCGAACGACCAGGCATTCGGTAGAAAGACTCAGCAACGGATGGGGATTTCAGCAAACCCAAGATGGCATGCGGATGGCCGGCCGTTCGGGAGTTTTTACACATGTTCTAAGACCGACTGCAGGTCCAGAATTCATGGAACTGTTTTCGGCTACTTTGCCCGTGCGGTCGGTCAAAACTTCTAAGTCCCATATCTCCCGAACGGCTGAACCGAATGGGCTGATTTTTAAATAAGTTAGTCCCCCAGAAACAAGCTATCCCCAGGGCAGACTCCACTTAGACAGACTCCCTACAGGATCCCGGAGGCAGTTAAAGAAGAGATGAGGAAAGAGATCCAAGAAATGCTTAAGTTAGGGGTCATAGAACCCTCAGACAGCCCATGAGCCTCACCCGTAGTACTGGTACCCAAAAAGGACGGGACTACCAGGTTCTGCGTCGACTATAGACGCCTTAATGATCGTACAGTGACCGATGCATATCCCATGCCCCGAGTAGACGAGCTCCTAGATCGCATTGCTAGGGGGAGATATCTGACTACCATTGATCTGTGCAAAGGGTATTGGCAGATCCCCCTAGCCAAGGAGGCTGTCCCCAAGTCGGCCTTCGTCACCCCGTTTGGTTTGTACCAATTTAAGGTCATGCCATTCGGGATGAAGAACGCCCCAGCTACCTTCCAACGCTTGGTGGACAGACTCCTTGATGGCTTCCAGGATTTCACTTGTGCGTACCTGGATGACATAGCGATCTACAGCGAAACTTGGGGAGAGCACCTCCAACATGTAGGGGCCGTACTGGACCAGATTAAGGCTGCAGGCCTCACTCTGAAGCCAGAAAAATGTCACTTTGGCATGGCCGAAGTACAGTATCTGGGACACCAGGTGGGATGTGGGAAACAACGGCCGGAGCCAGCCAAGGTTGAGGCCGTGGCTAATTGGCCCACACCCCACACCAAGACCCAGGTACTGGCCTTCCTAGGTACGGCAGGGTACTACAGAAAATTTGTCCCAGACTATAGTAGTATCGCCAAGCCCTTGACAGATCTGACCAAAAATAATTTACCTAGGATAGTCCTGTGGTCTCCCGCCTGTGAAACAGCATTTCAGACATTAAAGAACGCATTGATCAACGCTCCCGTGCTGTCTGCCCCAGTCCCTAACAAAAGATTTGTCATCCACAGAGATGCCTCCATGTATGGACTGGGGGCAGTTTTAAGCCAGATCGGGGAAGATGGTGGAGAACACCCTGTCGCGTACCTAAGCAGAAAATTGTTACCCAGAGAAGTGAATTACGGGGCAGTGGAGAAAGAATGTTTAGCCCTGGTCTGGGCCCTAAAGAAATTGACTCCATATTTGTATGGTCAGGAGTTCACCCTCATCACTGACCATAACCCCCTCATGTGGTTGAACCGCGTGGCCGGAGATAATGGCCGTTTATTACGATGGAGCCTGGCGTTACAACCATATAACTTTTCCATACAATATCGGCCTGGTAAATTCAACGGGAACACGGATGGCCTGTCCAGACAAACTGATGCCCTAACCAAAGTCCGGACAGCCCCACGGTGACTCGAAAAGGATCAATCCGGGTCTGCCGGGGTGTCCCACAAAAGGGGAGCCATGTAACAAAAAGAACAGTTTGCCTGGAAAAGACTTATGGATTAAAATGCAGTTCGGGACTTTACAAGCATTCTCCATGCGAATGCTTGCTAACCACTAACAGGCCACCCTGACTCTAAATTGAGAATAATTTACCTCCCTGCTTGATGGGCATTTTCGTCGAAAAACCGCACGAACGCTATGAGAACTGTAAGCACAGCCGCCATTTCAAGACTTCCACGTGTTCGCGGCCATTTTAACTCCCGAACTGCGGTGTTTGCCGTCGAGTGTCTGGAACTAAAATCGGACACTCAAATAGGTGAACACCGCTGAGACCTCCACACCTTCGGGAGAACCTTACTTGTTACTCTTTATTCGTTAGATTATTAAATGATCATGCAATGAATAAGATCAAGTTGAAGACATTAGATGTGGATGAAAACAAGAGATCGAAGTAGAAAGAGATTTGGGAATTGCCAACATATCATCATCACCATCATATCAAAAAAGCCAAATATTATCACAATATCTGAAGCACTGAGTAAATATAAATGTAATATATGCTGAGACGTAGAATTTAAGAATAGCTTCCAACCCAGTATCTAAAACTTAGTTTGGAATCCTTCAAGACTATGTAAAAATATATTGTATTCCAGTCTCAAATTTCCAGTCATTCCCTCTTGTACCAGTGCTATATTTGTTAAAATGCTTCCTTCATAAACACAGTTAAAAACCTTATAGGTCTTTTGATAAACATGAAATTCCTAATACAGATATCAATCCTCCTTATCGTGGGGCCAGTTAAGATTTCATTGGGCTGTATGAATGGTATAATACACGTAGCAGGTGTTTTCTGCATCTGTTCCAACCACTTATGCAGAAAGATTAAGCCAGGCATCTAGCAACATTTCCATTAAATATTTCTTTCACAAATTACCCATTGGCCTTCCGTCCTTCCACTTTTATATACGCTGCATTTAGGTATTGTTGCTTCATACAAAATATACTTCATATACTGTAACATAAAGGGCTATTCACTAAACCATGAATTGTAGCAAATTAAAATCTGAATTGCAAAATTGAAGGTAAAGTATTCAACCTTTAACTCCTTAAGGACACATGATGGAAATATTTTGTCATGATTCCCTTTTATTCCAGAAGTTGTGTCCTTAAGGTGATTTGGAGAATGTTGGCAGATCAGCTATTTTAGCCTCCGGTTTGCTGTATGGATTTTAATCTAGTATAATTTGGAGTTAAGTAATAAATAACTCTTTTTAGGTTCTAAAGCAGGCCGTCTGAGCAGGCCAGAACGTTGCTCGTGGGGGTGTTACATGGCAGGTGCCTACGGTGCAGCGGTACTGTGGGTGCTTTGGATGCTGGTGCCGAAGTAGCTGCTCGGATCACACTGCACTGGTTTACCAGCTCCCTTGCATGCCCCATACGGATGCTGGAGCCAGCATATTACATCATCCTAGACACAGCAACAGTACAGAGCAATAGGAGCTGGGATCAGGGACGTGTCTATCGCGAGGCAAACAAGGCATCTTCCTTGGGCGGCACTTTGCAGGGGGTGGCAAAAAAAGCCACGCCCAAACTCCCAGGCAGATCCCTTGTTTGCCTCTTGTCCTGGGGGCTCAAGAGCTGGCTGGCTGGCCACTTTTGAGCCCCCCCAAGGCTGGCGGCAGGCAGTGGGCAGCGAGGGAGCATACTCACCTGAGCTCTTCCTGCTCAGTTCCCTCCGCGCCACTTAATGAAGCTGGGAGCCGGAATATGACGTCAGACCGGCTCCCGGCATCACTAAGTGCCGCCTACTCAGCCTGTCCGCCCCCTGCCTACCCGATCAGCAGCACTACTTGACTGCAGGTAAGCAATACACTCCAGCTCTCCCATGGAGGCTGGGTGGATGAAAATAAAATAAAAAAAATATTAGTTTGTGAGTGTTGGTACAAATGTCTCTGTGTGTGTGTGTCTGTGAGTGAATGTGTGTGTGTCTGTAAGTGTGTGTCTGTAAGTGTGTGTGTGTGTCTGTAAGTGTGTGTATGTGTCTGTGTGTGTGTCTGTCAGTCAAAGTGTGGCCTTGACAGGAAGGGGTGGGGGAAATTCAAATTGGGGGGGTGCCCGAGCACTGTCCTGCCTAGGGCAGCACAAATCCTAAATACCTTGCTGGGATAGCAGTGCACATGACCAAGGCCGGCCTTTGCCATTAGGTGCCCTGTGCGAAAAATCTTCACAGCGCCCCCTCCCCAAGGTCATACACCACATCCATGTATGTGTGTGTGTGTATAGGAGTGTAGTGTTTGTATAGGGGATTTACTATATTAATAATGATTTAAAAATAAATATTTATTCCCCCTTACTGGTTACCTTGCAGTGAGAGGCCAGTGCTGATACCTCTTGTGATCCAGTGTGCTGGGAATCTGGTCTGCCCCTTCACCAGGTGCAAACTATAAGTAACTGTCTCAGGAGCTCAGGCATTTTTAGTGTTAGAGATTTCCGCTGGTAATCTGTGGCAATGCACTGATTGGCCTGAGTGCGGAAGACAGCTACTTATGGTGAGCAGCCAACAGAAGTGCAAGCCAGAGATGCCAAGCTGCCTCCTCGGCATTATAGGCAGACAGTCACACACACACACATACACACACACACTCAGTTGCAGGCATACAATCACACACACACAGGTACAAGCAGACAGTTACGCACGCTCAGTTACAGGAGACAGTCATACACACAGGTACAGGCAGACAGTCACACAGACACACAGTTACAGGCAGACAGTCACACACACAGACACTCAGTTACAGGCATACAGTCACTCAGACACACACACACACACACACACACACAAACACAGTTAAAATCACACAGGCAGTCACACACAGGCTGACAGTGTCACACAGGCATACAGTCACACACACACAGGCAGACAGTGACACAAAGACAGTGACACAGACAGTCACACATACACACACACACGCAGTTACAGTCACACAGACAATGACAAATAGGCAGACAGTCACACATACAGACAAACAGTTACCTATTTCCATTGTGGGCTGGAAGGGGGGATTGGAGGAAGTGCAGTTCCTGGAGATAAGTTGTTGCGGAAGCAAGGACTCCTTCCTGCTTCCCCCTTGATGTTCAGCAGTTACCAGCCATCAAATGGTGGTTTTAGCTCTGCCCCGCTGCAAGTGTAGCCTCGCCACTGCATCTCATCAAGCCAGGCCCATGTCACTCGATAAGCCCCACCGCCTTTTCTTTCATGGTCCAAGGTGGGGAATAATGAAATCCTCCACCAGGGTACCTGCTTTAGCTCCACCCACACAGCTGTCATTCGGCCATGTGTGTGTGAGCTGCCATGGCGACCTGTGCGGCTGCACAGCTCACACATCCCTAAGGCTGGCCATGCACATGACTAATCCAGCAGCTCCCCACTGGACTCCACGGATGAGGAGATAAGAACAGGTAGACTGGGTGGACCTCACTATTATTAAAAAATACTAGTTCTATATTAATACTAAGCTCTTTCAAATCTTCTCAGATAATTTAAAGCTGAAAATATAGGTATCGCCAGAAAAAACTATTTTACATTTAAATTTAGATAACATTAATAAAAATGGCAAATTTTGTATTATTCAGTTTTTCATGGCTATGAAACTGGTTATTTCAAGAATGTGGAAGAAAAAACAAGAAATCCCTCTGATAGCGGTAGTGAATCAAATGAATTTTCAGTGTCTGATGGAAAAAGGTTTTTTTCTCAGCTTTTCAAAGATTTGGTTCATATAAAAAAATATGGGTTCCTTGGCTTAGTTCCTACCCTGATAGGATTAATGTTTAATTCTTTATCTTTTAAGGTTTTTTAACATAATGCGAGGGGACCCATACTTGGTCACGCAGGTTTTGTCTTTGTCTTTGTTTTTCTCTTTTGTAAGAATAATGCTTCATATGTAAGACATAATATAAAATTTTATCTTGATAAATTACAGATGAAAAAAACAGTTTATGGCCCTTACTGATGAATTATGTATTTGTGTTGTTTGGTTGGATGACTTTGATATCCAACTTTGTATGTGAAAATGTCATAAAGAACAAGTTTTGAGAATTTTTTTCCCCATTATTTATTAAAATAAAAATTAAAGTATGTGTAAGGATACAATTGTAAGTGTGTATAGTAATGTCTTTGTGTGTATTGGTCTGTGTGTCTATGAGTTTGTGTGTATGCATGTCAATGTGTGTGTCTTTGTATTTGTGTCCATACGTGTGTTTTTGAATGCACTGTAATAGTGTACATTATTATAGGTACATGTGAATATCAATGTTTTTGTGAATAACAAAAGGGGGTTGTGGGTGGTGCAGATGTAGACCCAATCAATTTTTTAATACAGTTTGTTATATTTTTTTAATGTTCCAAAAAATAGAGGACACTATTTTATGGCCTGTTTGGCACCTTAAAAGAGGATCTGTAGACTTAAAGGTGTTGGATATTCTTATTCTTTCAACACAATGTTATAGAACAGACGAAATTAAGGAGCTTTTGTAGTAAAATAATGATAGATGTTATATATAGTTGTTACCTTAATGCCTTTACCTTCTAAATCAATGGAGTATCATGACTAGAAACAATGGAGATTGGGGGCATACCTGTAACATGCATTTCTCAGCAGTGGTGCGGCCGTAAAGACCAAAATGTATACACAATACAGATTAAGGAAGAGCATGTGCTCTGAATTGTTTCACATTTTGAATGATATATATTAACAATGCACTTACAATAGATTCCTTTAATGCACTTTTATTTAATCTTTATTAATTTAGAACTGCCACTATTTAAATAGTGGTTTGTCTCCCATGTTAAAATAAGTGTAGGACCCACCGATATTGGGGTACTGTGTTGTAGTGGTGGGCTTAACACTATACGGCCTTATGGTGGAACTAAATCCCCATTTTTGTTTGCTGAGATATCAGATTTTAAGTAGCCTTGTAGAATTCTAAACTGTATATTTATGTGTGTGCACTGTTCCTTAATCTGTATTATAGAATATGATCATAATAACAAGGTATTTGTCCAAGCACGGTCTGCATAGTGTTAAAGTAGTTGTATTACTTTAAAGGGACACTCGATAGTCCTAAAGTACTTCAGCTTTCTGAAGTGTAAATTTCAATATAAAGTGACACTTTTATGAATTAACCCCTGGTTTGTTTAGCTCAGTGGAACTATACTTAAGAGGCAGCAACTGCTCAGAGCACCTGCCTTGCAAAGACTTCTCATTGAACTGTATTGGGAAGCCTGTGATTGGACAACCACCGAATGTCTTGGTTGGGTAATAAAGGGAGGGCTTGCAAATGCTTCAGACAAGAGATCTGCAACTTTTGTGAACTGTTTTAGATATACCCCCAATAAAAAAAGTGAATAATTAAATGCATGCATGTTTTTATTGAGGATATATCTACTAAACTGATTTGTATTTTGTTTCCATTTAACATTCGTTAAAATCATTTTAAAGCAATATTCACTGTAGATTCATATCATTGTCATCTATATCATTATAATTTTAACTCTGAATTGACGTTTTGAAGAATGAATCCTTTGTCAGCATGGATCTGGCTATCCTAATGCACACTGTGTTTTGCAAACCTTTTTTTACACATGTTTTTTATGAGCCGAACACAGTTACTGTTAAAAAATGCTTTTAGCCAACCACAGCTTGAGATATTCTTGAATTGATTAGCTGCCTTACACCATTCCACCTTGGTTGGGATAGAAAGAAAGTGTTTGAATTGTCTGGTGATGCAGTATACCAAGATACAAACTGAAAATTACAGGAAGTGTAGGTTTGTTAGCAACATGCTATTTTACATGAATTTACATGAATAAATACAGTTTTCCACTTTTAGCTTGATATTTTTCACATATAATTTGCAAAACATAACATTAATTCAATGATATTTTCTTATAAAATTCATCTTTTGTTTGTAGTGGGTGGTTATTCACTCTTGGTGACCTTTCAGGTGGAAACGACCTGTCCCATGCTCTGTATTTGCTGAAACAACTCACAAGAACCCCAACTTCCCCCTCTTTGATCTGGCCAAGGTTCCTGTTCCTAGACTGGGTGTAGGTTGACTATAAATTGCACAACATTCGTTACGACATATATCACTACTGCAGTATATATCTGGTATTTGAATTTCAATCTCAGCAGTATATATGTATGGATAAGCATACATATTCTGTTCTGTAAAAATTGTATTTCTACCTTGATATTTCCATGTTATTTTAATATTAATTGCATTGTTTATCATTGAATCATTACTATCACTATTGCTCATGTAACTTCACAAGTTTTTTTTTTTTTTTAAGACTTCTTTTTTTCGGTCAACATACCTGTAAAGACCTTATTAGACATTTCAAAAAGAGAGCACAAAGTCAGAGTTTATTCAATAAGCATCAATATACAATGAAAGGGAATGCAGGGAAGCAGTACCTTCACAAGTGTCCTCAACTCAAATATAGATGGCACGATATACAAAACAGAAGAACAAATAAAACGGAATATGGTGTAGTATTTTTGATGCTGATGATAACATAAAAGAAAGGAAATGCACTTACAATCTTTTGGAGCTTGACACTCAGCTCTGGGGGTATTACTGATTTTAATGGAGCCACACACAGCCTTTTATGAGAATCCCCATGCAAGGGGTTTCCAAACACACATTCCAGGGGCATTCCCCACTGGACCGTAGAGTAGAGTGAGACAAAATACACAACATAATTACATTAAGTCTCAGGTCCAGGACATGTGTAATAATAATCACCCCAAAATATACAGTTCCCCATAAGATACCCTGTTAAGTCCTATATCCCCGGGTAGCTTGGGTCTGAGCGCCCACTATATCTGAAAAGCACTCAGATCCCAAGAACACAGCCGAAACGCCAGCGGGGTATAGTTTAGACCGACTGCACACAAGGTGCCTGACCAAAAAGGTTCCATGAAATTAGGCTATGCGGTCGGTCTCTTTTTCGGGAGCATCAAATACACGAAAGACAAGGCATGAACTGTTCGTGCAGACATTCTTTCTGTGTATCTTGTTCGGGAGTTTGCTCCCCCTGAATGCCACTCTGTTCGTCTGAATCCCAGCGGTGTTTGCGCCGTCGGGTGTCCGATTTTAGTTCCATGCACTCAACAACAGCTGTCTCTGTTTGTGGTTAAAGATGGCCGCCGCCACGTGTTCGCACATACGAACGGAGGCCACCCAGCTGACCGCTTGGAATGTTCAGGTTATTGTGGTTGGTGGACTGAGATTACTGGGGTTAACGAGTGGCATACTCCACATATGGCTGGTCTGGTGTTCGGTAATTTGTTCGGTTGTCGAACAAGATGCTGTTAATATGCGAGGTGGCTGCTATTTTACCGAACGGCCAGATGAACAGGAGTAAGAACAAGATGATCCAGGGACTATGAGCACGAAACAAAGGAAATAACAAGTTCATTCCGCTACACAGATATATGCGCTTGGACAGTACAATCCCCGTCTGTGGATATGCTGATCTTGTTCTTGGTCTTAATCTTATGTGGAAAGGTATCCTTAAGCCAGTCAGCAGTGTATTGATGGTCAGCATTCGTAGAAGTGGTCTCTTTTAATGTGCCGTTTTATAAAAATAAAAAGGGAAGATAGTGCTCTCTGTATAGCTAAATAATAATAAAATAATAAAAGTGAGTTATACTCACAAATGGAGAGCACAGTAAAGTTATGCTCAATCCTACAGTGAGGGGGAAAAGTATTTGACCGCCTACTGATTTTGAACATTTTCCCACTGACAAAGAAAT